TATTAGCTAATGCTTTTATTAATTTGTAATACTTGAAAAACCTGATCGCATCTTGGTTTTTAATCAAGTTATCATTCCAGAAGAGTAGCCCAGTTCTTGTGGAAATTCTGAAAACAAGTTACTAAGAAATCTGACTCATAAAGCAAGTGCCTCATGAAATTTGAATGTTTAGAAGGGAAAATGACTGGCAGCTCCTCTTGTAAGCATGCTAGTTGCAATAAAGTATAAAAGTTCAACATCAAAGAGATCACCGCTTAGTCTGTGGCATATTTGTACATCAAAGAACAAATACAGGACAAAAGGAACTGTATAGAGATACAGTTCAGCCTTGCAGACAGGTCCCCGTGGAATGCTAGAAAGCGCTGCTTTTATAATGTGGAAATTATCTCTGGCATATCTTCATTTCTGATTTGGGGAATAGGTAAGATTAAGAATTAAAAGCAGTGTCTCAGAATGCAGTCTTGCCAACATACTAGGTAAGAGCATCTAAGCTTACATGATGTCAGCGGTGCTGTTTCTGTGTACGGTGTGACTCAAGTGTATAAACATGGGTGACAGATAGGAAGGACGTATGCAAGACTGCTCTTTCACTGCGTGGGAGAGGATGGGCAAAAGGTACATAAAATGCATAAATGAAAGCTAAATGTCTACTTCTGGATTAATTTTTAAAATATATATTATTATGCCTGTGGTCAAATACTGTATCATGTTGCCCGAAGAGGTTGTGGAGTCTTCACTCCTGGAGATATTCAAACCTCAACTGGACACAATCCTGAGCTGTAGTTGACCCTCCTTTGAGCAGGGGCTGCACGAAGCACTCTCCAGAGGTGCCTTCCAAATTCAACTTTTCTATGATTCTATGAGAATAACGCTTTTATAGTGAGGCAGCTATCTACTTATATTTTTAGTTATGACCCCTCCTAATACAAGACACAATTCGGCCAAAAATGTGACCAGCTCAGCACAGCGAAAGTCCACCAAACTGACTTCTTAATGCTTTTTCTGAGCTTTTGTAGCATGGAAGCTGGATGCATTTTTGCTGATTTGGGCTTTTAGTGGTTTGTTGCGTGTGTTTTGGTTTTTGTTTTGGTTTTTTGTTTTTGTTTTTTTGTTCTTAAATCCTGAATTCTCCCTTAAATTAATGAGAAAGTTTGTGGATGTCTGCCTTAGAACTAAAGAAGAGTAATTTGGGGTATCTAGAGCACAAGTCCTCTTTCAGAACAAGGCAGGGCATGGGAAATTGATGGCAGAAGATTGTTGGACTGCTGTTGACCAATTGGTGGTAGCATTGTGTTGAAGGCAGTGGAGACTTTGCTATTAATTTGAATGTATCTGGTTTAATATTAAAATGTAAAAGTAGGTCACGTCAGTTCTTCAGTTCCAGTGTTTCTTCTTCATTTGTATTTCTTGTCTACAAGTGGTGACTGCTTATGTGGTATATAAAAATGTTAATCATAAAATCCAGACTAAATCTGAATTCTCCAACGTTCAAGTGTGCTTGGGTCAATGGTTTTAATACCCATTTCACCTTGTATGGAGATAGTATTGTCAGCAGACTCTTATTTCTTTTATTGCAGAACTAAAAATAGTTACAATCTCATGGAATCATTAAGAAATACAAAGGGTTTCTGTTAAAAACCCTAGGGAAACCTGATTAGGCATGCTACTGTATAATTAATTGTTGTGCTACTACACTTAGAGAAGTAGTGCATCAGTAAACACAAGTCAGAATGTAAGAGGCCAAGAAGAACTGCTGGGAATTGTGTAAAGACATCAAGGCTTGAAAATAACAATTTGGGCACCTCGGGAGAGACCAGCATTTGCATTTGGTGGAAGGACAGAAAGCCTTCAGAAGGCCAGGACAGGGGGAACTGTGAAGGCTCAGGCTTGTGCTTAGCACTTTCTTCTGCCAGTGAAACAGCTGTAAACACCTTTGATATTACTGATTACAATATTCCGTACTACCTTCAAGTTGATGTTCTGATAGTTCCCTAGACTATTTTCTTATGTTTTTTTTAAAACAGGGTCAGGTTAAGCGTTGTTCAAATGTTCCTTTTGTTATACTGTGCTTTAAATATGTTCGTTCTAATAATTAAGTTGTTGCTTGAGATTATGTAATGGATCACCGATTTGTGTCATTGTTTATCTTGTTTGCTTTGAGACCTACTAATAATTGTCAGCAGGTAGTCTGTAATTATCTCTTTGGAAAAGTCAGGGTCTTGTATAACATTACTGTAAAGAGTACAGTAGTTGTGTATGTAGAGATCAGGGTGGACGTGATGATACACGAAATGAATTATTCTGCTGGAAATATGTTTAAAACTTGTATCAAATCCTTTGCTGCTACCTCATTGCAATAGCATTACCTAGAGAAAGAATGCCATCCTGGGATGGTACATGTACTGTGACAAGTCTCCACGGCCAAGGAGGAAGAAGGAGCTATTACCACGAGCTTCTGGCATTTCAGAAACGTTAATTCTTGGCGGTTTGAGGAAGACGTTACAGGGAAAATAGGTTCATATTTTTCTGTTTAGAGAAAAATAGAACATAGCTATTTTTAAGGAGGCCTGTTTCTGTATCTGTTGCCTCGCTCTGTTGATGGGGAGAAACGAGCTGTACTGGAAGAGCTTTACTGACTAAGTGGCTTTACCTGGATCTTGCAACACGCTTGTGTCCTTCTAATAGCACTGCTCACTTCTGTATACAAGGGCATTGGGGAGAGTTGAGGATGCTCAACACGCTGAAGTCAAGCCTTTTCTCGGGAAATTATAATAATTGGTTGTAAACAGTGACCGTTGCTCTCAAGTAAATGTAATGGCTGTGCGTGTACCTTGCTATGAGGAATTAACAGCAGACGTGTCTGTACTGTGCTGTTAAAAGAAGGTGGAGGTTTCCTCACTCGAGTGTGTCAAGTCCTGGCCTGCTAGCTGGCAAAGAGTGTGTTTGGAAGAGACAAGAGCTTTACATTTTAGAAAGACTAATCAAATTAATTCAATTTATATGCTAAATTGAAGGAACTTTTGAAAGAGTTTACTTCTGAATTAAGAAAAAAAAACCCAAACCCTAACTCTTTAGAGACTGTTTTCCCCACCTTTAAAATACCTGAACTGCCAAGTTAATAGCTTGTTATTTCAGAGAGTGTGTGTACATGCGTGCACAGGGAGAGCTGCCAGCAACTCCTAAAATCAAAATCCCCAAATGAAATCCTTCAATACTCTTCCCCACCCCCTCATTGGATTGCACTGAAAAATTTCTTAGGGAGGTGCCAACAAAAAATAACATGGGGTTGCGTAGCTTAACTTCTTTTCTTGGATTGTTGCCACGTTACTAGTGATTTGGTAGCTATGCTGAGTTCAGATTTTGTATTAGCAGTGGGTGGGATCCCTTTACATGTGAATGAGTATTCTGAATGGGCAACGTGCACAGATGTCCAACTTGTCTCCTTGGAGCCTAAAGTTAAAGTTCTAGGAGCATGTCCAAAGCTGGCATAAAGCTATGTATTTCACGTGAGAAGCGCTGCTGTGCACTGGCTAAGGCTTTATTTCTAAATTTGAGTAAGTTTTTGTTAGCCAAGCATATTTTCATTGGTGGAAGTTTTACAGTTTTTGAGGACTTATCGACTTCTAGTGTAAAAGCACCTTAATAATTGAAATTACATAGCATGACTTCAAATGCAATCACCAAATATTATGTGGGAGAACAATTAAATTTCATTATAATTAATTCCAGTTTTCAGAAAATGCTTTCAAAGTTATATTAAGCTGGATACCAAAATTGTTATCCCTTTGGAAAATGTTCCAAGTCTCCAAACATCTCAGTAAAGTGTTTCACAAAGGACTACTCTGATGCAGCTATCTAAGAGATTTATCCGAGGAGGCAAAACCCAGATTGCTTGCCGCTAATCCGGTGCTTTACAAACAAGATTTTAATTTTTATTCCCTTGTTTTTCAAAAATTCAGGCAGATATACAATGGGATGGTTTCCTCCTGTAAATAATTAAGCCCATTGTAAACAACGTCAGTAGAAAGTAGTCTTGAGATTCATTTAGTTTTAAGTACCTATTCATTTTTTCTCTTTGAAAACAGCGTCATGTCCCAAGCAGTTTCAATGCTCATAAATCATGTTAGTAGAATGGGAGAAATTATTCCAAGCCTCCTCTCTGTTAGGCTTTTACATTTCTTCTCAAAACTTGTTTGTTGTCCCAAAGACTATCTTAAAGGAAGAAGTCATCCTTTAGCTTGATTCATAGCAAGTGGCTGTAAGGTTGGTGTAGCAGATGCTGTTCGTATTTCTCCTCACATTAGTGGAGTTGCTTGTGTGCGTCAAACATGCAGGTGGTTCCTGTCACCGACTGCAGGTAGGCTGAGCTGCTTCCCTGCAATACCTTTCCGATAACATTGGGGAAGAACTCTTCTCTTCTTTAATATGGGCCAGGAAGGAAATTAGGTCTCTCAGTGAAGCTGTGCTTATTACTACTACTCAAAATTATATTATTTTCATGATGAGATCAGGTATTTGAACAACCTAATCAAAGAGGATTTAGCATGGCCTGGAAGAATAAAAAGCATTCCCATGCAAAAAAAAGTTGAGTGTAAATACTAGGGTGTTTTTCAAGGAAAATAACGTATAATAATAGAACACAAGAAAGAACCGAAGGTCTGTTCTTGAAGAGAAAATACCTGTAGCGCTGAAGGAATGAAAATAAGTATGTATTTGTTTACCTATCTGCTAACACCATCACAGTTGTTCCAAGTACGTTGTTCAGTTGAACTAAAGAACCCACCTAAATATTTTAAGGCATTGTTTATTAACAATAACTGGTTTTAATGTCAGAGAGGATAAATTAATTTGGTTACACAATTTATCAGATGCTGCTAAATGTTGTGGATGTTATTAAGTAACCATCAGTTAGTCTGGCAATTTATTAAATCTCAGGACACTGCAGAAATAGCCCTAGATGAGAAAAATAATCTCTTCTTGAGAAGGTGGGTATCCGGTCTATGCTCTGGACAGATGCCCTGCTACGGTCTGAAATGGAGCAGCGCCAGGCAGCCATGCGCTACGAACGTATTGCTGAAACTTCACCCTGCCCTCTGCGAAAGCCAGCAGAAACGGGCTTGGTGGCGGGAGTTAAAAGGAGCAGTGGGCTGGAATCCCCCCCAAAGCAGTGGGCGCAGGACGTACCACCGAGTGCTCTTCAGGCTCCAGAACCGCCTGGAACAGTCAGAGTTAGGTCTTTCGTGTCCTTTCCAGAGGATCTGATACTAAGCTGGTAAAGGACTTAAATCTGTCAAAAGTTAGACCTGTAGTAAGTGTTTGCTCACAGCTGGTGGCCTGGGCTGGGGCTTTCTCTGGTGCTGGGCAGGCTTTGCCTTGCCCTGCCTGCTCCCTGCGTAAGGCCCAGCTAGCGCACCGTCTTCCACGGATGCTGCCGGAGAACTGGAGCTCCTGACCCCCGTGCTGGTTGCAGGGCTATTCTTTTCTTCGCCAGGGAGAGGGGGCTTCGCACTTTGCTCTTTAGATGGAGGTAATGTTTCACTCGCTGGATTCAGGAAGCTATCCGTGTTTTCTTCATGAAGCTGAAGAGCACCTCAGAATAAAATTAGCAATAGGTAAATCTGCAAAAATTCTTGCTTCTCTTCTTCCTCATTTCTTTCTTACTGATTGCTTTACACAGATCTTTTCTTTTTTTCTGTAGCGAGTCTGCCAGACAAAGTAAATTGACATGTCATGTAATGGCTTTGTGGTTTGCAGGTTTTTTCCTCGTTTTAAGTTGATGCAGAGGGTGTATTTTGATGCTGTTATACTGTGATGGATGAAAAAACTGCACTGACTTTTATCCAGGAGAGGGAAGCGAGTTGTTTTCTTTCAAGGGCTGTAGATCAATTGGTGTCTTACAGAAGTAATACCATGAAAGTGGGGAAGAACTCCTCTTTGATACTCGAGTCTTTCTATTTCAGTTGGTACAATAATGGGCTTTTGAATTAAAGGTTTGTTAAAGCTTGTATCTATTTCAGATTATTGACAGCTGAAGCAGACTCGCTGAGCCAAAATTTATATGTTTATCCAAGCCTGTTAAAATCAGAATTTATGTTGACTGTACTAATGTCTAAGCTTTAATACCACTTTTATACAGAAGGCTGCTGTTTGAATTTTCAGTGAAGTAAATTTCTTTACAATATGCCTTTAAGTTATGATTTATAACTGGATTCATATAAATAAATGCTTTCAGCCAAATGCTGTTGAACTAATTCCATTTTGAAGTCATTAATTATATTTAGCTCATTGAAAAAAGGAGGGGGGAAGGCATCAACTAACCCTATGTAAAAGTGACAACAGAATTGTTTTATGAAAACGCTTTTGGGCCTCTTAAGCTATGAAGAGCGAGTGGTTTGTTGGGTTGTTTTTTTTTTTTTTTAATCAAAGAAGTGTGAACAGAAGCTAGATAATGCATTGCTATACTGCAGAGACAATTCATTTTGAACAGGCGTTAATACACTTAATGCTTTTTGCTTTTATCGTGCTAAGGTCTTCAGCTTTGCAATAAGATCTGGCTATGCAGTGAGCCTTCTAGTTTGTGCAGAAAAAAAACCCACTTGTTTTTTGATAGTAAATCTATTAACTCTTGTCAGATTGGTAAATTTTCAAGGCAAATTTCTTCTGCTGTATGTTCAATTGAATAATTGGCTCGCTACATTCAAACAACTTAATACAAGAAGGAGATGTTACACTTTGAATTCTTACATATATTGTGTGAAGCTCAGGATAATGTGCTAACTGGTCATCAAAACTAAAACCTAGATGCAACCAAAACACAGTGGATTTTAATGCAATTTTTGTGAGCCTGCTCGTTACACTTTACTAATAGGATTCCTTTTTGTCTTTTAGGAGTTTGAGAGAGAAAATAAACCTAAGCATTGCTGATTGCACTTTCCCAAAGACAGATTGGGAAATAAGTAGTGTATATATTTTTAGACTGGAGCGTGGTACTTCTGCCATTTCCATCTTTATCTTTCCATTTTGGCTATTCCATTTAGGTGGATGTAAGAATTTTCCTGCTTGGAATTCACATCGCCCTGGGATCGCATAGGCTGCACGCAGAACTGTCATCTCGCTGAAGTGCTGTGTAATTGCCTGATCCTCTTTCTTTTGCTGTCTAGTTTCTCATTTCTTTCATTTCATTACTTTCATTTCTTCTCCTTCATGTTAACGTTCTTCATCTCTAATTCACTTTCTTGTGTTCTTCTTTCACCCTCTTTTGAAAGCAAACTGCCAGTGCCTTATTTAATCTCTTTATCAGTGTAGTGAGGGGTAACAACACAACTATACGTTTTAGGCCCTTTATAGCTGGCTGTTTCAGATCATCATGAAAGAATGAAAGATGGAGCCCTCTAGGACACCTCTGTGCTTTACCTTTCTAACACTGCATGCTCAGTTCTTCAAGAGATCTTTGTTCCTTTAGTAGCCTTCTGGAATAGTTCCGAGCGCACCTGAGGGTCGTGGCAACTGGAAGAAACCATCTCTCCAGATGGGCTTTAATTGTCTTCCCATCTACCGAAATTCATCTCTGGTCTCTAAAGCCATGCTCCCCGTCCCCCACCCCCGAAACATTTCTGACTTTATTACTACCTTTTGGCACTCTGTGCTAGGGGCACCAGCCAGAGGCTCATTGGCACACTCAGGAAACTTAATTTGCTCCTGCTTGTTGTTTTACTTGGGGAGAAACTGCTACTCCCAGATTCGTGATATTGGAGAAAAGAGGTGTGGAATTACCATGCCAAGCTGCTGCAGTATCTAAAATGTTTAATTTTGTATCATGAGCTCCCTAAACATATACAAACTGTTCTGGTTACCAGTGTGATTAATAACACATCAACCACAGGCTAGATTTTAGGAAGGTGTCAACGAAACCTCTACACTGCTCATAGATTGTCTAGTAAATTTGAGTTTATTAAAATGAACTAGCATGAAACAAGAAAGCTGTATGGAATTACACTTAAACAAGTTGTTTTACAAAACACAGCAGTCATCATCTAAATCACATACGAGGTATACAAAACCAGAATTACAGTGAAGTGAGCTGGTCAACAAGTTTTGGAACTAAGTAGTAGGGAGCAAGGAAAAAGCAAAAGAACATGCAATTTCGTATTTCCATTAAAGATCCTTGGAACAGGGACCATCTTTTTATCTGCATTTATACATGTTATTTTTTGCGTGTATGAGGTCCTCATCCAAAACTATGGTTCCTCAGCTCTACTATAGTGACAGGGGTGAACAAGCTATCTATCTGTCCTTACCTTTATTTAAGTGGTTTTCAAAACTGCTAACTTTATCTTCAAGAGGAAAACCTAATGCTGGTATGTTTGTTAACACAGGTAGCCAGTAGACATTTCTTGCATATCACGTTGCTTAGAACAGTGGTCTCCAAGCTTTTTTGATTGCTCACCCCTGTCATTAAAAAATAGATAAATAAATTTGAGCATGCACCTCCAATGTATGTATATTTATTTATAAATTACATACGTGTATTACTGTAGTAATATTATGTACGCTATAAAACATGCACAAAAATAGAAATTAAAAAAGAATGAGAACAGAGATGATGATTTTTGAGGTCCATGTGCTAGAAGCATGGCTGAACTGGACTGTGTGTAGTAAGGTGTACCTTTATATTCACTACCTAACTCTTCCTGTAAGAGTGAATGGAAGTTGAAGTGGGGGAGTTCCCATGGGTGGCTAGTGGGCTATTAAATCACTACATCTAATAAAATCTAGATAAATCAATTGCTCATTTTTGCTCATCAATTGCTCAGTTTTGGAAGATATTATTTCCAATATTCATTAATTCATTGCAGTTTCTTGACAAACTACTGACTTATGATAACATGTGTTTTCCACTCATCCATGAGAAGCATGATTCATATTGGAAAATGCTTTCTTTTTTAAATTATGCACTTTATGGTGTGTTTCCACGTTCTGCCCTCCTGTTTCCCTTTGCCCAGCTCTGGCTTTCGGAAACAGATGGATATAGCTGATTCTCAGCTATCATTTAAAAATATTCCTGGAGTTTTTACTCATGGATATAGCTTGGAAATACGTTGTGATACTGTGCGTCTAACCTATGGCTTACTAGTTTCTGAAACAAAGGAATCTCCAGATTCAATTCAGAAACTACCTGTGGGTAAGACCAGGGAAAGCATATTGTGCAAACTGCATCATTCCCTTGTACTGCCTTGCTCTTCTAATGGCTTCATCAGTTCTCTCCCTCACAGAACTGCCCTGTGAAATGCGTACGCCACCAGGCAGTTCATATTTAGCTATCACGTCTCTCATGATTCAAAGCTATATCGGAAGTCAAAGCGTCAATATAGCTTCTCTTTCAGCGCTAATTAAAGCTAAAAGGAGCATCTGCTTGCACAGTGATCACACTATATGGAAATACGTTTCTTTGTCACTAGCTGGTATGTGAAACCTGAGCGGGCTGCTTACAGAAACCTGTCACAGGTTTTTTTTCTTTTTTTTTTTTTCTTGTGCTTGATCACGACTTCCCCAGAGCTTCACTGCTAATCAAGTAAAGGTTTCAATTCAAACGATTCTTTGGCCTCTCTCCCCTTCCCTCCATTTCTCCGTGTCCAAAAAACCTCCAAGAAGAGCTTTGCCATGAACTGTTGAACCTGACATGGAGTTAACTGGTTTTGTATTGGCATCTTGCTTCAGTTGAATGTGGTGATTATGGAGTGCTTCTGTCTGCTGTCTTTTACACCTGAAACTACAGAAGATAAACTAAAACCCAAATAGAACAGCGCAAACTTATTTGTTAAAAATCTTACGACTTTCTGTGTCTGTATGTATGCTTGCTTCTTTCTTGTTTTGTACTTTTTTTTATTAAACACTCGAGGGTTGGCAATGCTGTGAAGTAGAACAGTGAAACATAAATATTAATTGTGGTAAGAATATTGTCTAGAATCTCATCCTTGTTTTACTTGAAAATAATACTCAATTGTCTTGGCCGTGCTGGAACAAAGACAAGACCTAAGGGATGTGCATTTGTTTGGCTGCAACTTTATTAACACATTTGGGAACAGTGCCCAGCAATAAATCATGTAGTGTGACTCATTGCTTATTCCTTGATCGTTCCTACCTCTTTGGGAGAGCTGCCGTCAGCCTTCCCCCTCCCAGCCTGGCACCCTCCTATTGCAGGGCCACCACAGCTTTCTCGTGTATTAGGGTTAGGTGGAGGTTGGTGAAAGGGGAGGGTCGTTCCCCACTGCA